AATCAAATTTTTAATCTTCTGAAACACACCTTGTGTTAGTGAATCAAATAACAAATTAAACATTTATTTTTTATCCATATGCATTTTGCTTTGCACTGGCCTCATCAGTGGATACAATCATCAATTAACAGAAGTTCTTTTATAATCAACTATATTGTCCCAGCTTGCATCTACAGCTATACCCATACTCAAATTTATTACATTTGCATAACTTTGTATACAAAAATGTTCTCTAATGCATCTTTTTACTAAATTTTTTACTTTATGCAAAATTTTTACATTATTTCTATTAATTATACATTTAACAATATTATAATGCTGATTCCAAGGTGATTCATGTCGTTTTAATTGTAATATAATTAATAGAAATAACATAAAAATTTTGTATAAAGTAAAAAAAATTGGTAAAAAGATGCATTAGAGAACATTTTTGTATACATTTTGTATGCAAATGTAATAAATTTTAGTACAGTTGTAGCTGTAGATGCATGCTGGAACAATATAGTCCATTATAGAAGAACTTTTGTTAATTGATGGTTGTATCCACTGATGAGGCCAGTTCAAGGCAAAATGCATATGGATAAAAACATAAAAATAAATGTTTAATATTTGATTGTTAGTGTTTTTTTGTCGTTTAAAAAATCTCTCAGTCGGAATAAAATGAGTACAATATTACTTGATAAATTTTCAAAAAATGTTTTATTTTTAGATTTATATTTTTTAGATGTACATTCTATATTCAAATATTTCTGCATTAAACAGAACAACAATATAAAAAAGAAGATAGTAAACCTATTGTAATGAACTGTTGAGAATAAATTCTGCACTAAATAATTTTAGTGCAGTGTTCTGTGATAAAATGTCACTAAACTGTACAGTAGAACACAGGAATAATGTCACTTAAATGAACAAAAATAGATATTGGGATTAAAGTAATTATTTACTTCCACCTTTCACTGACAAATTGAAATTTTTCAGAAATTTATAATATTGAAAATATTCAATTAAACTATCACATTGGTACTAAAGAACATTATTTGTTGTAGTGAAAGTTTGGATATAGAGAGGTTTGATATCAGAATATGGCTGTATTTTATTACAATAAATGGGCTGCTGTTTATTGAAATAAACAATTATTGTATTGAAACGTAGTAAAACATAGCCCAATGTATTTAAAAATAGAAAATTTTTTATGGAATGTTAACTATTTTTATATATTCTATTTAATTCAATAATGAAAATCAAGACAAATTCATTTTATCAACTGTTGATTAATAACCAACTTTCTGCTAATGGGTTCACATTAGCAGAAAGAATAATTACTAAAATCATCACTAAACACCTTTGGCTGCTGAGACACATTTATTTGCTACTGTTTTGGAACAGTTTTTTGTAATTGGTGTTCCAAAATCATTCACCTGCAGATGGCCTATGCATTAGGCTGAAAATGTTAGTGTTTTAGTAAATGAATGCTTCTCAGCAGCCAAAAGTATTTTATGATGATTTCAGTAATTGTTGATTAAGAAGTTAAAAAGTTTTGGGTTTCCACTTAAAGTTTTAACATTAAGAATTATAATAAAAAATATATATATACATCATTAAGATTAACAGTGGAAAATCTAAAGATATATAAAAACCAATCATTAAGAATAACAACTGGAGATTATGATTATCAACCTTCCAAAGTAATGGTGTTTGTAAAGTATTCCAAATGATAAAATGATTGCCAGATAAGTTTCTGCTGCTGAAAGTAGTATTATGTAAAGAAATTAATATTTAATACACAAAATAAAATGAAAATTGTGTGAAAATGATTTTTCTCTATATCAGTTTCATTATGTCACTTCTGACATTTTATGCCTAAGAATTTACTTATTGTTTATAAAATGTGTCTAAATAGGATTATTCAGATTTTTTCATTTTTTGAAAGCATTAAATTATGAAGACTATATGTATATTCTCTAATCTTCAAAATGGTGAACTTAAAAATTTTTTTTTTATTTCTCACTAGAATTTTAACAATTACTTTCAAAATTGTTTTTTATTATAAATATTACTCACAAAACCAAAAGTTCAGCTAATAGATAAAAAAAGTGAAAGGAAAACAAGCATTTTCAGTTGCCTTGAGTGATCATCCTGATCTACAGGTTAAAAGAATGGATCTATGAGCTGGAGTTTTGGTTTTGTGAGTAATATTTTACTTTTTATCCATTATACAGTGTGATTGCTTTATCTTCAGTGATTTCAGGAATGTAATATACAGGTAACCCCCGTATAACACCGGCACTTCTATAGCACGGATTCGCTCTAACACGGTTCGAGAAATGGTACCATCCCCCGTATAACACGGTACTTTTATAGCACGGATTCACTCTGACACGGTTCGAGAATTGGGTAAAACCCTCGTACAACAGGAAATGTAATAAATTTTTACATACTTAAGTAATAATAGTTCACGAAAATTATTATTTTCGTGAACTATTAGTACTTAAGTATGTAAATTTTCTCTTCTCGCCTTCTGTCGATACACGTGGTCCTTCTCGAAACTTGTTTCAATGTTGCCAGATCGCGACGCTTCTGCTTCTGATGTTGCCGAATGTTTTTCCCTTATTCCATACTTGCTTTATTCTTCATAAGTGCTTAGCACCATATAAGGAAATTTATAAAGACCTTTTAACTAGAAGCAAGCAATCTAAAATTACATACATTTTGCAAAAGGTAAAGCATGGATCTGAAGATAATGCAGAAAAATGCTCAGAGGATAAGGATAACTTGCCAAAAAGAAAACGCTCTCGGTTAATTAATAGTGTTTTTAGTGATGACGAAGAAAACATTGTTTAATTTATATTAATATGTATCACTTAAAAAAATTTTAATTAAGATATTTATCTTAATTATGAAAATATAGTAGCATGTTTTTTAATTTTTGGAACCTAACCCTGCTTTTCGTATTAGTTCTTTGTTCCGTATAACACGGATTCGCATAACACGGCAATTTTTTGGAACGTAACTACCGTGTTATACGGGGGTTACCTGTAATATATATATCTGGATGAGTGATGTGAATTATCTTGTTCATATGGAAAATACAGTTGGTTCTGCATAAATAATCATAGGTATAACTAGTCACCATCAGTTAAGTAGTCAGTTTTTGACATAGGCATTAATGTTAAAAAACTCTAGTTTACTCGACACTGTTTAACTTGTCATCACTGGATAAATTGGCATACTTTTTCTGTCCCACACTCGTTTAGATGTCTGATAAGTCGACTCCACTCTAGAAAAAAATGAGTTCACACCACACAGCTTAATGTGACAGCAGAATCCGATTTTACATTTTCTCACCATTCATTCATGCATTATTTGCAGCAAGTGTTTCATCTGAAACCTAACAATGCTTACGCTGAAGGAAAAATACAAACTTTTATCTGAATTTGAATGTAATAAAACTTTCACAAGCCAAACTTGCAAAACAAGAAAACCTTCCAAGAACAACCTTGGTGGGAATTCTGAAGAAAAAAAGAAGAAATTAAGAAACTTTCTCTTGGGTCTTCATTGCGGCTATCTCAAAAATGCCAGAGAAAGTCGTCGTACAAAGATGTCGAAGATGCTCTGGTGATGCTTTAGTACATTGGCTAAAGCAAATGTTCATGGAATCTTCCTGTTTCGGAGCCGATACTAAAACAAAAAGCGATGGAAATTGCCGACATACTTGGAGTAGAAACCAACTTTAGTCAGAGAGAAACATTGCTTGTACTGTATAAAGCACTACTGTATTTTGCTAATTATAGTTTTGTGGTCTTTTTTCAACTTCGTTTTAGTTGTCATATCGGATAACTCAGCACATTTCTACTTTCTCTTGGGGTGTCGACTTATGCAGTCTCAACTGTATTTCTATTCAGTAGTTACATTCATTATCAATAGGACTATATGTGATAGATAAATTATCAATTATTGTTATATTAATATAAAAAAGTGTGGTAATAAGTGGGGTAACAAAGACATTTTTATTAATACTAGAATATAGAAATTGAATGCAGTTTATATGAAAATTGTTTGAAAACATACTTCTGTATTAAGAAATTTTATAATCAAATATTGAATTGAAATAATTTGGACTGAAGATAAATGGACTAAACTAAAAAGTCTTAATGATAAAAGTTTGTAATTATTGCCTGAAATAGGAATCTGGCAACCTGCAGTAACTAGGCTTTGTTAAATATTTTGTATTGTAAAATTGTTTGGAACTTAATTTTTTTTTTTTTTTAATAGAAAGTAGAATTTATATCTAAGAATAAAATGTGTCTTTGAAACTATATTATTTAAATTCATGTCAATATATCCTGAAGAATATGAGAGTCTTATCATGATCAATGCAATTCTGATAAATTACAGAAATCAGTTTCTAGAATAAGTTTTATTTCTACAATAAAATTTAAATGTTGGATTCTCTTAAACTCTGTTGAGACAATTACCATGTAATGTACAATTCTAAATTGGATTAGTGTTTTAAAACTATGACATTGTTTGTGGTATTAATTTTGATAAATATTAAAGGTTGTGATGGTAGAATTATATGTTCTGAAAATATTTAATAATATAGTAATCTTCTATTTGATTTCTAAATTAAATGGCTGGCAGCAGAATTTTATTTTACTCATTGATTTCTTAAAGGTAAAGTATATGATTTAAAAGCAAAACTTTATGACTTGGTTTATTGAGTAGAGTTAAAGGAAATATTTTAACCAGTTAACTTTATCAGTTTTATTATTTGTCTTTCATGCAAAATTTCATAATTTTTACATTAGAGTCTTGTATAAAATGTTCAATCAAAAAAAGTTTAATTTCTAAAATAAATTTAATATACTTGTATTATTCAATATACATACTTAAATTATGGAAAATATATGTATAAATATCCATTTTCAAATATTTAATGATAGTCTTTACATTTATAAAAGACCAAGATATTATTTCAAATATATTGTTTTAAATTACAGTTACCTGGTTCAGCTGTCACAAATAGCAATGTCACACAGCCACTTACAATCCAAACTACAACAGCAAATGTTCAAGCAGCAAATGCTTCTTCTCAGGTAATAATAAACATTAAGTCAAACTAGAATATCAGTATAGATAAAATATATTTTATTAATTTATTTTTTAAATAGAGTTTAAACAGATTCACAGCATTGAGAATTTACTGAATATAAAAGATCTTTTGAAAAAAAAATTGTTGTTGTTGTTATAAAAGATTTAATGATGATATATTTTTATACACCTGCTGCTAAATTGCTGATTAATTAGCTATTAACTGTAAAGATTTAGTTGAAAATGGAGATTATTGGATAAAACTATGTAATAAATTAAATCAAATTGCATTTTAGGGAAATTTCCAAGACTGTTTTTATTTTAGAGTTTATTCATAAAAATTCTCCAAACTTTAATCAAATCTCAAAAATATAAGGCAATTATGCTTTCTTGAAGTGAATTTCACTTCAAGAAAGCATTCAAGAAATCTTTAAAATAAATTTTTGACATAGTTTATTAGTAAATTTTGTCTTTACTGAAGAAGTATGCTGGAGTAAATAAACCAAAAATTAAAATCAATATATATTATGTGATTTATTGGTGTTTTTATTGTATGTAAATATTATCACCATCGTCTCTAGTTATTGATGTGTATGTTACAATATATAATTTTTCTTGCCTGTCTCTAGTTGTATTGCTGAAAGTTGCATACATGGTTTATAACTATTCATTATGTTATATTTTGTCATTACATATATTACATTTTATTACTGATATTTTTTTACATACATTGTAATTTTATAATGTTACATTTGAATTTGAATATTATCACATTTTGTAAGGAATGCTTCATGTAGAATTTTTTTTGATTAATCACATTCAATTTATAGAAATATATAATAATCTGACAAAATCTCTTATCCTGATTTTCAATAGTTTTGTATTGTTGAAAATTGGGATAAGAAGAAACTTTAGATCAGTATTCAACTGATAATAAAAAAGTCCCTTAAAACATAATATTAAATCCAGCTCAGAGAAGATTTCTTCATTCAGGTATAAGGAAATTAACATTGTTGATAATTCCTCTATTTTATGTAGATAGTCCAAGTGAACTTAAACTATGTGCAATACCATTTGTAATGACCATTCATTGAACTAGTCTGGTAGTTGTAGGCATTTTAAATGCCCTCTTGTTATTTTGTCTGGATTAAGATATGCCAAATCATTAGGTGTCAGAAAATTGATAGTAAACTTGAATAGACTGTCTTGTTAACCTGATTTTAGTGAAAATTGGTTTCATTTTTTCTCTTGCTCTCATAATAGTGCACTCCCCAAATATTTGCACAAAATCAATGTTCTTTTTAGTTTGAAAAAATTTTGGCATGTGTTAATAAAAATTTATTCTAATTAGTATATATAAAAGCAAAATTTTAAATTTAAATGTAGTATTTCATTAAAATGATTTTTCAGTATGTTTCCAATAACATATGTCTTGATTTCTGTTTGTTAATTTGATCAATCATCAGTGAATTATTGCCATGATAAATCAGTTCTTAGCACAGCAAAAACAACTCTTTGTTGATTCATCACCATTGCTTAATAAAAATTTAGGTGAAATTTGATTCTTTTTTGTATTAACAGAATAATCTACCCTCTTTAGATAAATTCCTTAAAGATTTTTAGAACTTGCTTGTAAACATGCCCAAATGCTTGTCTTTCTGCAGATAACTTTACCTATGACAATGTTCCACTTGGATTGACACTTGTTAAAAAGTCCATATACACAAACCTTTGTAGATGATTTGAAATATTCCAAATAAATCATGACTTTAATATGATAACTATTTTCTGTATGTAACTTTTTACTATGCTATAAGGCATTTTCAATGATCTCAACACTTAATTTAAAGAATGACTTGATACTACAATAATGGGAATCGGTAATGCATAACAAATTAATCAGGAGACTGTACATCTTTCACTAACGTTTTCGAACCAATGGTTCTTCTTCAGGTAAAAAAACGGACAAAATAAATTAAACTTGATGAAACAGATCTTTTTTCGAAAGAATTCTGATATCAGAAGATATCAGCTTATGCATTACCAAAGTCTATGCAACTTCTTATCAGTCTTCTTTTTGTTTGCTTACTTGATAGAAATTTTATTAAGCATCAAATATAAAAACTATTAAGTAAGTTTAAGAAGAGAGAATGCTTTTCTCAGGTTTTAAGAAAAAAACATGTACAATATTTTAGCAAATCTTTGATATTAAATGTCTACAAATAGATAATGATTTTCAAGAACAATGAAAAATTTTAATTAATTAATGAATCTATGAAAGTCATTATGTTCTTTTGAATGTGCTTATTAAGTGGAAGGACACATGAGGACAAAAATTGTATTATTATTTTCTGTTATTACTCAGGATATATTTCTTCATAATTGAAGGTCAGACTATTTACAAAAATATCAAATTTTCGAGTCTATCTTAATCCTTTTTATACACTCCAGAAGTAACAGTTAACATGGGTTTTTTTGAAGAATATACTTCTTAAAACAAAGGTAAACAACAAGTAAAAAAAGGTTCACAATGTTAAAAACGATCAAGTGTTAGCCTTCTGTTATAGTTCTCTTATAGTTCTGTTATAGTACTGTTATGTACTTTACATTAAAAACACGAAGAATTCTTCTCATCACATTGTCCTTATACATTTTTTAACTGTTTCAGGCCCTCTGGTGGTAGTTACGAGTTATCCTTACTTAATTTGCATTTGGATACAATTTCTGTAATTACTCAGGATATATTTCTACATAATTGAAGGTCAGACTATTTACAAAAACATTGTGAACCTTTTTTTACTTATTGTTTACCTTTGTTTTAAGAAGTATATTCTTCAAAAAAACCCATGTTAACTGTTACTTCTGGAGTGTATAAAAAGGATTAAGATAGACTTGAAAATTTGATATTTTTGTAAATAGTCTGACCTTCAATTATGATGTATTATTATTGTTTGCTTCATATCTAGTAGAATCCACTATTGTTTTGGTGATTGGCTAGTCTATCCAATTTTTTTACTAGATTTGTCCCAACAGTTAGACACAGAAGACAACTTTTACTCCTTATAATATCTTTTATTGAAAATGCATTTTGATTTTAATAAAGGATATTATAAAAAGTAAGAGTTGTCTTCTGTGTCTAACCATTGTAACAAATCTAGTAAAAAAATTGGATAGAATAGCCAATCACCAAAAACAACAATAACAAAAATTGTATAGATTAAGAAGTAAAGGCTGATGAATGTTATATAGAAAACATTCAGAAAATACTCACTGCATTTTAATATAAAGAAGACATCATCATATGAAATGTGATTACAGGTTTACATATGTTCTAATAGAGCATTATCTGTTTGCAACCTGTTCTGATCATAGATTTATTACTTGAGGAAGTGTGTTAAGATAACAAAATAGTTTTTGAGAAAATGAGTGTACTGGATTGAAGAACTAATGAAGTATATATATATAAAATGATGCTTATTATAGATGATCATAGAATGTAGCTTCGTTTTCATTCAATGTTAGCTTTTCCCTTTTAATTTAACATATACACTTTCTATGTCATGTTCTACTGTTGTGATATTTCCTGCAAAATTTTTAAGTGGTTAATATTAATTTTTGATTTTGAATGTAATTTTTTTCATTTTATTATTACTGTACTTAATCTTCTTTTGAGAATGAAATTCATTAAGGATTAAATTATTAATTTTTTTCTTACATCAAAATAATTGAAATTTGTTGGTTATATCTATTTTTTTCATTCTTAATTTGTCTGTTTTAATATTTACATTTAGGAAATGCAGCGAATCTGAACTAAAATATTCCAGCATAATAACTGTAATGTTAAGTGTGCCATTCAAACAAATACAGAATTATTATGTACATGTCAAGCATTCAAGTTTTCAAGAGCATAAAGAATTTTTACAAGAAAGGAAGAATATGACAATTACTATTCATAATAACTTCTTTATTATGAATGTTAATTGCACTAATTGTAAAAATCTTTCTGAAATATCAAATTTTACGAAGGACCTAATAATAGTGTGAAAAAATAATTTTTCTAAAACTTTGCTGATTTTTTTCCCTCCTATGTCAATACTTTTAATACAACTAGCATTGAATGTTGTGTATTCTTTTCTTTTAACCAGTAACTTTTGTTCAGTAATTTTCTTATTGAATGAGGTTAATGACTAGTTTGTTGTAAAAAAAAAAACAGTAATAGTAAGATGACAAAAAAATCATTACAAATTAACTACTTTGGAAAACTCTCAAGTTTTGAGGTATATCTCTGACTTTCTGGCTGTTCTATGTATACATTTTTGAAATTTTGATGTGTATATGTGGAGATATCTGTTTTATGATAGATTTTTTAAAATTTGCATTATTTTATTTTTTTGTAAATTGTTAGGAATAGCAATCTAAATGATTTCCATGCAAAAGAAATTATCTGTTTTTACTAATTCTATTAGAACATCTCCAATTGTTTTATGATAAGGTATTTACAAATAATAATATAATTATTTTTATAAGATGTATAAAAAATTTAAGTATTTCTCATAATTTATGTATTGAGTTTGTCTTTGTCAAGAATTGTAAATTTATTAAACAGGTTATAAATTATATGAGAATTGGTAAACAAATGTCTTAACTTTTACCTTTGAATGACTCGTTTATTATCTTAACATTAATAAATATCACATCTTCCTTACATTTTCTGGCAATACTTTATTAGAACAAAAAATGTTTGTGGACCTACTTCAGGTTCTTACACTTTCAAACTGAATGATTTATGGAGTATTTCAAATTGAAATGTTCCAACAATTATTATTATTACTTTTGGAACATTCCAATTTGGAACACTCAGTAAACCATAAACTAGATGATTAGTAAATGAATAAAGAAGCAGAAGAATAAGAGAAGTTTTTTTACTTTTCCTTCATCTTTTTTTCCTGTTTGAATTTCCAAATTTTTGTGTGTTAATTGAATCCCCATTATGGCACAAATTCTT